TTCGGCGTTAGACCTATGCTTTTTAAGTCAATGTATGAAACTAACGTCATTATTTGCGACATACCTAATCTAACCTAACCTTACCTAACCAAACCTAACCTAATCTAACCTAACCTAACCTAACCTAACCTAACCTAACCTAACCTAACCTAACCTAACCTAACCTAACCTAACCTAATCTAACCTAACCTAATATAAATTACTAACCCGAAACATTAAAAGTAGTGCTGCTATAATTGAGCAAGAGCAATAATATTAATAATAGACTATTACTTAAAGTATGTAGTTCATATTTTTGCTGATATAATATTTTACTAATATCTTATCAATACTACAAATTGTTATATTAAAGAAATACTATAGAAAATATCATAAAGAAATTCTTTAAGTGAAATCAAATTTAAATCATGAAATCATTTCCAGATAATCACTGCGATAATCGGTCTTGGTAAACTACAAAACGTTTATTGAATGAATAAATATTAATAACAGATATGAATGCACTTATTCTGGCAGACAGTTGCGGATGTGGTATACGTATGGTGCAAAATCGACATAATTTCCGGTTCAAGTATACTGTTTAAATTTAGATGCTCATGAAATTCATAAAATCTGTAATGAAACTAACCGAGCAGAGAGCAGCAAAATAACATAAAGCAAGCTGTCATCAAGTGGAACCCACCATACAGATTATGAGCAAAGAAATGATGAACAGTGGAAAGCAGTGACTATGAATGGCGTGACATTAGGTCAATTGGATACATTTAGATGTTAAGTATGACCATAACGAGTGTACATTTTGTATATGAATTTCATGCACAGATGTGTACATTGTTGTGTGCCCATCGATTATGGTATGCGCTTAAGGATTTAGTTGTCTTGTAGTTGACTTGACTTAATAATGGTGGACAGAACTATATCGACTTAAATGCCTAGCATTTACTAAATAAACGTAATTGCAAGAAAGTAGCTTATGTATTATGGTATAGTATGGTATAGTGCTCTCGTTTAATGTAATTTTAACTGAAGTTCATATTAACTGACATGAATCTAATAAATATTTTAACTGCTACTTGCGTAGTACATAAGTTTTTAGGTTCGTATTTTAGAAAAACGTTAGCATAGTTTAAATTATATGATACTTTTTACAGTCTTTATAAATATTATATTTAATATAGCTTTCATTAGTTTAATGATTAACTTATTTACTAACAACAGAAGCTGTCAAGTCAATTTGTTGAAAAAATGTTCGTCCAATGCATTTGTATTTGATTGAAAATGACAATAATAAAAGTTAAGAAAGTCTGCTACATGCATTTCATGTTTATGTAAATATCTTACGATGCTTGCTGCTCCTGCTGCCATTCTGTATTTCAAAGATGCATAAAGTATTTTGCCAATACGTTCGCTGTAAACTGCATATGTTTCAAAGTTGGCATGCCAATGCATACGTGACATGGCACTTCCTCGACTTGGTTTTCTTAAATCCAAAATGCGGAAAGTGTACGTTTGACAGCATTTAACTTGCATTTTCAAATAAAACTTTTACTTAAATTGAAATTCTTAGTAAATTAGTTCTTAGAAAATGGAATATAAGAAATTTCAGATACTACTTTCTCTAGTTTTTTTTTAGATATCTTTTAAGAGAGATAAAACTGCTTTTGAAGACAGTTCTTTAGTAAACTTTATTCCAAAATTAGAAAATTGAATTTAACTAACAGCATACTTAAAGGTTATCACTAGAGTGTATTAATCCACACTAGTTACCTTCAACATTTTAAAACGTTAAGTTTTTCTTTCATATTAACGAAAAGTAATCATAATTAAATAATCTGTTAGCAGTCAACATTTGCAAAACTCAGTAGATTAATTTATTTAATATTACTCAATAACTCAGCACTTAAAAAATTATTAATAAATTATTAAGTAAATAGACTAAAATATATTTCAGTCTTAGTAGAGTACATGTGGAGATACTTTTTGCTTAAAGTTTATTTCTTTGTTATATTTGCTATAATACGTAAATAACACTAACAACAAATAAATTAAAACTAAGTAAACATAATTAACACTTAATGATGTCTTCTTTATTAAAATTAATTTAAGTTTCCTTAGGTGCAAAAATATTTCACCTTTAAAACTTGAAGTTAAGAAGAGAATTGTTAATTTTGTTTAAAAATTCGTTTTGCAGTTGACTGACGCCTTGCTGACTTGCTTTCGCAAGTTGATTTTACTACTTCATCCAACTTTTAACCAGGATATTAGTTTATTGTAAGGTGTTAGACACATGAATATGGAAATATAACACCATAAATATTTATGCATATATATTGAAATTTATATAGCTATGCAGTGCACATATGCAGAACATTATGGCACAATACTCCAGGGAATATTTGCAGGCATTTAACTTGTCATAAAATAACAATATATTATTGACTCATTGAAAGACAATAGAAGTATCTTTTCGTTTATGAAGTTATACAAAGCCTACTAGTGCTAAATATCAAGTCCTAATTATAAACAAATCTAATAAAGATATTAGATATTATTCAATTTTTTTTTTAAATTTACACAATTACTTTCAAGACCTCATATATTCATAGAGACCTTTCTACTAGAATTATTACGAAGTATATAAGGGATGGAATCTGCATTATTCAGCAAAATAGATGATCTTCGCAACAATTCTTCAGATCGTTAAAACTATTCAGCAAAATAGATGGTCTTCCCAACAATTCTTTAGCTAGGCTTAAAAGTATTAAAACGACAGAGGGATAATTTTCAATATTCTTTCTCTAATGACATAAACACAACGAGATGTGAATCAAATGATGGTCACTATGCGGAGGGAATAAAGCTGCTAAATATTACCAACACTCTTAAACCATAATTCGCAATTTCTTATGTGTGTTCTGGTTGGATCAACATCCAGAACCCTGACTTTTCGTTAGAATAACAAAAACTACACGAAAAGTAAGAGAATATTAGACCGTGATCTCTATTATCATCTTAAATCTTTAATAGAAAATAATATGCAATATTTAAGTGTTGAGTGTTATATGATTTGAAAGAGTCGATTGCTAATACAAAATATATGTCGTGGTTGCAGTGCTCTTTTCAGTGTGGAATCAATACTCCGTTATATTAGTATTTCTATTCATATTTCTATTTTCGCTTCCACTGTGAAGTATAAGCACTGTTTCAAAGAATAGGGCAGTAGTACTTATCGCATGTTACTGTTTCTTGCGCGTTCCTAAATGATGTTGTACCAATCCTGCTATCATTTATTCATATGCTATATCACAACTCTCTTTAAATATAATTGATATTGAGGCTTTCTGTGAATTAACAAAAAACTACTTAAATATAGTCATACGTTGTAAAAGAAAATAAATTTTTAGACCATAATCAATTTCTCATCTCACTAAACGGCATATCAAAAAAGGAGTCTTCATTAAGCACGGGAGGGTAAAGAGTTCTAACTAATTACTTCAAATATTCCTGTGATTTGAGAAATCGCTTGAAAAAAAATTGGGTGCTTTCAGTATTATTGTCAACTTAATTTTGTGCAATAAATATTTTTTGGTAGGCAAAAGCTTCACTACTTAGGTGGCGTTACGATACATTCACATAAACTCTGGAACAAGCAACGTCAGACTGTTACAATTAATAAAAAACTGAAGTGTACATAAAAAGGACATGGTCCCTAAATATCTTGGTCTCTAACAATACCAATAATAGATGCAAGAAGCATCAGAAAACCTTCTGATTAATTTTCAATTACATCAATATCTGATTCCATTCCTTATTTATTACTTAATATTTGCATTTTATTTATAAGGAAATAAAAAAATTTTTCATAAAATAAAAATTAATGAATTAAATAATTTCCGTTGAATAAATTGATGTTTTCACAGATATACTTTAAAATATCATAAATTTATAAATAATAATAATCCACTCTAGCAATTGCTATGGTTTCCATCAACTTTTGTGGAAAGGTTTAATGATTTACATGCATGAGAAACCGTGCAGAAATACTCACTTATTAAAACCTAAAACAGCTCATATCG